TTCAGCGCACCCGCGCTGCACCCACCGCCCCGAAGGGCTGAGCCGCGATGCTGATGCTCGGCCGGGGTTTTACCAAATGGTGCAATTTTAAATTCCTCCCCCCCCTCCCCCCGATTCCTGAAATGGGAAGAGGAACTTAAAAATCAGAGTCATGCCAACCGGGCTTAACTCTTCCCTCCTCGACTTCCAGCAGGACAATATTCACTTCCAGCAGCAGCTCCTGCGCGCGTGTGGGCTGGCGAGAAAAAGCCAGAGTTTACCCCTGCAATGAAGGGACACCAACCCAGGACTTCGTTAGCCCGGATTGGAGTCGGGAACGTCCGTGGGAGACAGACAGAGGCCGGTGGGCGCCATCCACAGCCCGAAGTGAAGGTGCCGTGGCAAGAGCCCGGCCACCCTCCGCTGTCCCCTGCCCCCCTGGGGTTCCTCTTCCATCACCGGGACAGGGCAAAGCCCCATGGCCACAAGCGTGACCGCCCAATGGCGGGTGCCAGGGCGGCCGGTCCAGGGATGCCTCCGAGGCAGAGGAGCATCGGTCCAAGCACTGTCCGTCTGTCTGACCCGCGGCTGCTCGGGACCCACAAAGGCATCAAACCCCCTTCTTTACCTCACTGAAATCGGGGGAGCAATTATTGCTCTTGTTTAACGAATCCACCTACACAGCTGATACCTCAGCTTCCAAGTCCTGCACGTTTTACCACAAAAAAATGGAATTTTAGTATTTTGTGGGGTTTTTTTTCTCCTCTCTTTGGTGAATCTCTCCAGGCAGTGCTCACGGGGCTCTCACTCTGTCCTCTGCCGCACCGGCCCGGCTTTGCCCGCACGTACCCACCGTTACTGACACCAGCAGATGCGGCCGACGGGACCGGCCTCGGCCAGAAATACCATCCAATAACCGGGTGTCCGCACCGCAGACGGGCTCTAATTACACCCTTCGGCCGCTCGTTACCCAAAGCATATTAGAATGTGTAATTGGCTCACGCTTTTAAGCTTCCTTTGGCAACAGATTAATGATAATTAGCCTTTAAATGAAGGTATTTCTCCTTTGCAGGCTTCACCCACAAGTCTGCAGCGCCGTTTAAGGAGGAGGTAACTATTTTAGGGACGGGGGAACAGGAGTGACCGGCAGAAGATCCCCCATCGCTGCACCAGTTCTCCCAGCCTGGGGTGAAGCCACGTGTCTTTGGGTACCCAGGGTGGCCGTGAGACCAAAACGATGCTTCATGGGGCAACGGCCCCTCGCTCCTTTCCTATAGCGATGCTGCGGTATGATTCCTCTGGAATCCCGCTGGGCGAGATGCGGTGTGTGGAGATGAAGTTCCTAAAAACCTCCGCACTCTTTGCGAGCTGGGAATTTCACTGCCGGGGTGATGCGACAGGCCCAGGGATACCAGTCGGAGGGACGTAGTGCTGTCCTCACCCACCGGCCCACGCGGCAGTGATTCAGCTGGGACGTGGGTGCGGGTGCGCCCAGCTCCTCCTCTGCTCCTCGCAGGTATTCACACACGCAAACAAAGCTGCGGAAGAATATCCTGCACTGCCTCTGCTCATGCACACAAGAAATTTTTTGTGCCGAGGGTGGTGAGGCACTGGCCCAGGTTGCCCAGAGAGGTGATGGATCCTCATCCCTGGAAACATTCATGGTCAGGTTGGACGAGGCTCTGAGCAGCCTGATCTCGGTGAAGATGTCCCTGCTCATGGCAGGAGGGTTGGAGTAGGTGACCTTTAGAGGTCCCTTCCAACCCAAACCAGTCTATGATGTGCATTTTGTGGCTTAATCCACTGCAGTTTTGGGGTTACTCTTTGCCGCCAAGTGAAAAACCAGTGGTGCCCGTGCTGAGCAGTGTCAGGCTGCCCTGTACATCCCAACCGGCTGCTCCAGTCCTACTGGGACACCCGGCCCCGCACGTTGGGACAAGCCCGCCCGTTCTGCATCACCCTGACCCCTGGTTTGCCAAACAGCATGACGAGCAGGAGACCACCCCAGCCAGCCCAGGCTGCAGCCCCACACTGGGGACACAGAGGATCGGGGGGATGTCCCCACACCGGGATGCTCCTCAGAGCTGGTGGGAACCACCCTCGGGAACTCGCAGGGATGCTGCTGCGGGGGGCTGTGCCTGCAAACTGGGGGGACCTGACAGTCTTAAACTCATGTCTGAGCTCAGAGTACGAAGCCAATTTGCTCCAAGTGATGGTTTAAGGTGACTTGACCTCCCACTACGAGTGCCTGCACCCACGACAGCCCCTCCAG